TAACAAATACTTTTAAAAGTGACAAAACACCAATCAAAACCTATGTTTGTTATTCAAAAAAGTGATATAAATATTTAAAAAGTAACAAAAAAAATTCAGAAAAGTGACAAAAGCTCAAAAAAGTTACAAACACACAAAAAAAATAATAAAATTATCACTTTTTTTTAAAAAAAAAGTGACACAATGTTACATTTAAAAATTTTGTATAAAAAAAAAGTGACACAATGTCACTTTTATTGTTCTTTTTTTCCGACTATAATCAAGACATTTGACACCAATCTTCAAGTAGGGAAACCAATTTTGAATAAATACATTATGCTATGTGTAGGAGGTAATATGATACATGAGCATACAGCTAGAGAGACAACTAGTCATTGCCTTAGTAGAAACAACACGAAAGCAAAGATAAATAACGATTTGGCGATTGAAAAGCAATACATGAGTTAACTAACAACAAAAAACAAAAGAAAAATGAGAAGACATAATAGTTTGAACTAATGAAAAGAATCGCATTCCACTATACCAACATGAAATCCATTGTATTAACTATAGATAAAACTTTCCAATTGAAAATCTTACAATTTTTCCTCATATGATGAGCCACATTTCCTTCAAGTTAGGACGCTTACCTTACCTTAACAATGACGGTGAATCAATTGAGCCTATATATTTTCTTCAAACAATAATAGTTTTATAACATCATCAATAATCTTCAACATGTTTTTCCATTCTTTAACAACAATGCGAGGCCGGTATAAAGTAACTTTGTAAGGAAACCAATAATCATGTGGTATCAATAGCTCCCAATCCTACAAAAATAGAACAAAAAGAATGATTGGCCAGATAATAGTTTTATAACATCATCAATGAGAATTGAAAATTTAAATTGGTACGAAATGGATTAGAAAATCAAACCGTCTTGACTCCACATCATAACTGGACAGGCCAAAACAAGAATGAAAAGGAATGACGACAAAATAGGAACAAAAAGGAACAATAAACATATTTATACAACATGAAAAATCTCCATTTGAAAAAGAATGAATTACATCTTTATGCAATCAATGTTCTTTTTTCTCTTTTGAAAACCCAATCAATCAACAAGAGCACCAGCTAAGATTTTCAAGAGAACAAGTTCAATTAAGCCTAGCCTTACAAAACGATTGAGCACAATAGAGAAATTCAAAGTGACATTCAAAGCCATAAACAGATTTGCAAATAAGAAAATAGATCTTAACCTTAGATTCTCAAGCTTGTGGAGTAAGATTTCTCTTTTTCATTGAAGTACCTTCAACTTTTTTTACCACACTTTCTCTTCCTTCTCTTTGAGTCATGTACACTTCTATGGCCTTCTTCACCCATAGGTCCAAGCATCTCTAATGGTGCTGATGGTGATGATCGATAGGGTTGAATCTCATTTGATTTCATCACTTCTGGTCATGTGGCAGTAATGAGTGGATTAGGATTTGGTTTTGGTTTTGGGCTAAACGTATAATCTACGGTTATATTTAAGGTTGATGAAAAAAAAGTTAAATTTGTTGTATTAACCAATTTTCAAACTTGCAGGTCGTAATGGGCCTAAATTCCTCTTTAAAAAATTGGAATGAATTGTTTCAATAATCACCCAACTTATACCATGATCACGGATTGCTCGCTAAACTTTAAAATGCTTCATGGTGCTCACTGAAACTTTGTCCGTTTGCACTCCGTCCATCACTCTCAAAAATCCGTTGCCTTATTTGTTGACGTGGCTAACGGAAATCTGACTTGTCAAGTTACGACCGTTAAAAAAATAATAACTCGGTCAAACCATTGTTTCATTACTTATTCAACTTACACTTTGTTACAGTTTACTCATCGAACTTCAAAATGCTTCACAATGGTCGCTCATCTTTGAGATGTTGCACTCCATTCATCATACGCCAAATTTTATTCTCTTCATTTCTAATGTTCGCACAAAAATTCCACGTAGTACAAATGTTAAAAAAATTGCAACTTACCAAAATCATCATATATGAAACGTACATATTTTGTTCACTTCATTCCTAATGTTTGCACAAAAATTCCACGGGTAAGTTACAAAAGTTAAAAAAAATTGCAACTCAACAAAACTTCACTCACCAAAATCATCATATATGAAACGTGACTTCCACTGTCCCCATCAACTTCTTTAAAACCCAATAAAGCGTCCCCAATGATTCTTCTAAAAATATTGCTTTTCTAATTCGAACGTTTGATGTGTAAAAACATAAGTTTCAATCTGAAGCTGAAACTCTGAAGGATAACTTGTTATGTTACGCTTTATTTGATTTTAAAGAAGTTTATGAGGTATGGAAATCGTGTTTTACATATGGTAAACGCTTCCTCAAACAAGTTATGTTTCAGAATTTCAGTTTCAGATTGAAACCTATTTTTTTGCACAACGTTCGAATTAGAAAAATGATATTTTTAAAAGAATCATTGTGAACACTTTATTGGGTTTTAAAGAAGTTGATGAGACCGTTGAAGTCACGTTTCATATATGGTGATTTTGGTGAGTTGCAATTTTTTATTTAACATTTGTAACTTATCACGTGCCAACATTAGGAATGAAGGGAACAAAATATAGCGGATGATGAATGGAGTGCAACATCTCAAATATGAGTGACCATTGGGAAGTATTTTGAAGTACGATGAGTAAATTGTGAAAAAGTGCAAGTTAGATGGGTAATGAAACAATGGTTTGGCTGAGTTGTCACTTTTTTAACGGCCGTTACTTGCCACATCAGATTTTCGTTAGCCAAGTCAGCGAATAAGGTAATTGATTTTTGAGAGTGATGGATGGAGTGCAAACAGACAAAGTTCAGTGAGCACAGTGAAGTATTTTAAAATTTAGTGAGCAATCCGTGACCATGATATAAATTGGATGATTATTGAAACAATTCACTCAAAAAATTGGGCCAATCTAATTTGGTGAACAAGGTTAAAACGGATTGCTTCTTCCCCACCTTTCAGTGTGTTTATGCAAAACGTCCCTATCTTTTGTTATTTAGCAATTTCACCCTCACATTCACCTTTTATTGCGAAAATGGTTCCTCCATCCCCCCACCGTCAAATGCTCCGTTAAATCAATATAAAAGTGAAAATTTTCTTTTCAAAAAGCAAGGGTAACATTGTCTTAACCCAATTTTTCCAGTGTGAGCTTCCCGCCTTCAAAGTTAAATGTTCAACACTAACAATAATAATGAGAATACTTTATAAAATTATTCTATTAAATAAATAAGAAATGACGTAAAAGATATTGTATTTCACCTTGAAAAGAACCATGGCTGCTGTAATGCTTGATTTCTCATAAAATTTGGAATGGTAGATAAAGAGGATGAATATGTAGTCGATAAACTAGAGATGTTCATCCCCATTTTGTGGGTGTAAACAAGGGGTAAAATGAGAAGACCAATTAAAATGTGATGCTGTAAATAACCCATAAGATTTCAATGGTGAATGGCCCATCACATAAGAATGGAGAAGATGAACTATACCTACTCTTTTCTTTTTAGCATGAAATTTAACTTATGATAACCATCCCCGCCTATTAATACGTTTTACGTGCAACAACCACACATTTTAATAAATTTTGCGAAAAACTTCACTACCTTTAAAACTAAGTTACGTAAAACATCCCCACCTTTGTAAAAAATTGTGCAAACCGTCCTTACATATTTTGAGCCAAACCTATTACAACCTTATTGAAGGGCAGCCTAATACAAACATGTTTGTATACCCAGCAATTGAATAGGGTAATTAGCACATAACGTCCCCACATTTCACTGTT